GGCTTATATTCATATCTACATATGCCAAACACATAAAAAATTTACTTGCGGCACCTTTAAATACCAGTGGTCTGCACGAGGTGGAGGAGGTGTAGTGCTGTTGTCGGGTGCTGATGCAATTCGGCAGTGAATCACAGTGATACAGTGTGTAGGTGAATCTGATAGATGGTAGTGACCATCTGAAGGAGGAAGCCTAGCAGCAGTCAATCTGACCTCTTTTACCACACCAGCATGTATTCCCAGAGTATACAAAAGATCACAAAAGGCAAACAGTCCCAATGGGAATCATTTGTAATATCCTAAAATGAAAAATGGAACTGTGTGACATCATTCAAGGGTAGAAAAATTCAAAATGTGTAACAATCTTTGTGAAATGATGATTACTTTTTAGTGATAAGGGTAAATTTCTTTGTGTCAGGAATGTCATCTCGTAGAGCAATACAAAATTTACATACAAAACATTGTGAATATATACTGAAATATTTTAAAGGCAGAATTTGGGAGAAAGCAACCAAGAAGAATATCCTTTGATCAATTCTGACATTGTATGGTTGCTGACTTGCTGCACTAAACTGGCTCATCTTCCAATATTTTGAATCCTACTCTCTCTTAGATTCAGATAAAATCTTGATTGATTTAACGCCAAGTTGCAAAACTCTGAGGCTGTCTTTAATTATTTTTGTTACTGTAGTCTGTGTTAGGTCCTAGCCCCAGTTTCACAAAAAACATTTGACCAATTTTTTTTTACTTTTCTCTGGCTGGACATTTAAAATTACTTGTTGTCTGTCTAAATTGGGAAATGTTAAGCCTGCTTTACAAAAAAAAAATGTTTTAAAACTGTGTTTGGTGCAATGTTATGGTAAACTCTGAAAACTGAGACAAAGTAGACCAATGTTTTCAGCCTTCGATTCTTTTCACATAGAGTGGTCTACATCAGTGATATACTAGTAGCTCTACTGTACACTTTTAAGGGATTGATGTCTTCATTAAAAACAAGTCCTGTCAAGACATTAACAGTGATATTACCCCCATTTATTTTTTCATTTTTTAAAATTTTACAAATGTATAAAAATCTGCTGTACAGCTGATATTGAGGTATAAAAGTTTTTAATTGAAAAACAGACCACCTGTCCACTAATAACAGCATAAAATCATCAACAACATGTCACTTGAAGTGATCCAAGCCAGGATTTTGAATTCTTTCTACTTCCATGAACTGCATGCTTTTTGTTGAACTTACTAGTATCTGAGGGCAGTTAAAACTTTTAAAACATACATTGACATATAAATGGCTTGAATCAGTCATTTTGGCAGAATAATTAATTTTTTTAAATAGCTAAAATATTTTATCAAATACTTGTAAAAATCATTCCAAAAAGTTCTCCCAGTAACTAAATCCCCTTGCAACAGCTCACACAACCATACACTAAAAGTTTATCAAAAATCAATATCACCTCTTAATTGTTAACCAATACTTTTGATGTAAGTGCCACACACCTGCCACAAATTTGTCAGTTTAATGTTTGAAAATTTTCAGCAATTCTACAGAAAAACTTGTTTATCAATATATTATGTCAAATGTAGACATTTACATATGTTAGGTAAAACAAGAGGGCAAACTCCAATGAATTTATAAGACTACTTTCAATAGCTTATATTCAATCCATTTATGCCAAACACAAAAAAAAATGACTTCTGACACCTTAAAATATCGATGATTTTCTTTATGTGATGGAGGTGCAGTGCTGTTGTTTAACCCTACAACTTCAATCAATCAATTTCAATCAGTCAATCAATCCCCTAATTTGAAAGCAAATCCCTTTGCAGCAGTAAATCTGACCTCTTTTACCACACAAGCATCTTTTCCCAGAGCATACAGAAGGCAAGCAATCACAATGGGGATCATTTGGGATATATCCTAAGATGAGGCTGTTGGAATTTTCTGACATCACTTTAAAAACTAGAAAATGTGTGAGAATCTTTGTAAAATGGGGTTAACTTTTCAGTGTTTAGGATGAATTTTGATGTGTCAAGAATGTCACCTTGGAAAGCAATACAGAAGTGCTACACAGACATGGTGAATACAAACTGTAATATTCTAAAGGCATAAATTGTAAAATTTTGAGTGATTATATGCCAAGTTGCAAACCTCTCAACCTCTCTTTGATGATACTTGTTACTTTTTTTTGATAGTTTGTAAGTCAAAAAGTTCTCCAGTAGCTTGCAACATCAAATCTTACCTCTTTTGCCACATCAGTTCCTTTTCCTAGAGTTACTGTAACACAGAAGGCTTAGGCAATAACATTTTATCAGTTGATATATCACTAACTACATCACTAACTCTCACAAAAGTGCCATACACTAAAAGTTTATCAATAAACAATATCACAATGCACCTTTTGTTAACCAAAGCTTTTTGACCTAAGTGCCACATACCTACCACAATTCATAAGTTTTATCTTTGAAATTTTTCAGCAATTCTGCAGAAAGACTTCCTTACTGTATCAATATGTCATGTCAAATAAAGACATTTACGTGTGTTAAGTAAAATCGGAGGGCAAACTCCAGTGAATTTATAAGACTACCTTCAATGGCTTATATTTAATCCATTTATGCCAAACACATAAAAAAATTACTTCTGACACCTTAAAATACCGATGATTTTCTTTATGTTAAAGAGGTACAGTGCTGTTGTTGGCCCTCAGAACTTCAATGAATCGGCCAATCAATTTCAATCAATCATTCAATTAATCAGTCCCGATATTTGAAACCAAATCCCTTTGCAACAGTAAATCTGACCTCTTTTACCGCACCAGCATCTTTTCGAAGAGGATGCAGAAGACAAACAATTACAAGGGGAATCAGTTGGGATATCCTACAGTGAGGCTGTTGAAACTGTGTGGGAGTCTTAGACTGCATTCACATCGAGTTGAGCAATGGCTCTACAAAGCCACGAACTAAATATGGTGGACATACATGAAAGGAAAACCACCTAATCTTTTAATAGTCTTTCCGCCTCTCACATGCCTCCCCATGTGTCGTCCCAATGGAGCCGAGATTTAATGACTGTACTCCCGCAGGGACGACACATGAGGAGGCGTGTGAGAGGCGGAGAGACTATTAAAAGATTAGGCGGTTTTCCTTTTATGTTCATCGGCCATATTTAGTTCGTGGTTTTGTAAAGCCATGGCTCAACTCGATGTGAATGCAGTCTTTGTTAAGTGGAATTCCAGGATGTAGATGGCTCAAATTGTGGTGTTTTAAATTCAGTTGCATGAAATTGTGTCTCTTTGGACAGTATTTTTCTCTCATTTAGCAGTTGCTTAGAATCTTCAAGAAGTAAGACCTAAAACTTTTTCAGGACAAATTGATGAAAAGCTGGTTAAACTTCATGTATCAGACCCCTTGATGTAGCTACTATCAAAATGTAAGATGCTTTTTTAATGGCATGGCAAACACATTTTTGTCAATCATCGGTCAAAATATCAGCATTTTCTTTTTCATTCTTATTTTGTACATTTGGCATCTATTATGTTAATATGTTAAGAGGAAGATATCTGATTCAGTAATTATTTTTACTAGTCATACAAAAAGACCCAAAAAGTTGCAAAATTAACTTGAAACAGTATGTTTTATACCTAAGTCATATTGAGTATGATTGACTAAATATAATGTTGCAAAACAAATATTGTTCTACTTGTCAAAGTTCTACTATATAACAACATGCAGGTTTCTGAATAGCTGACATGGTTTCACCAGTGCAAGACCAGTGCTTTCTTGTTTGACAAACATTTCTTCTAACAAAAGACCCATCAATATAATTAATGTTTTAACATTTAGATGCTTGACAACAAGATTTAAGTGCAATAAAATCAAGATATCCTATGGATTAAACCATGTCAGGGAACCTCATGTGTTTTACATTTTGACTTTGGTACGAAAATGGAGTTAAAGTATCCCATAAATTTCAGATTAAGATCAAGAGGTTTTGCCTATTGAATTTCCAACTGCTAATAGAGATTGTGTTTGTGTAGGTGACTATGTTAAAGCATACAATGGGTCGGGGAAGAAAGGGACATGACCAGTTCAATGCACACATTTTCTGTAATGCTATGTCAACATGTTATAATCATAATCGATTTTTCAATGTCTGTTGAAATAGTTCTTTCATGCGTGGAAATGCTAGCAGTTGTGCATGATGGAAACAACTGCGTGGTTTTAATCAGTGTAGAAGTGAAAACTAGAATTCAGGAAAAATTAGTTTTTTATGAATCTTTGGTCGACCTCAGACAAACAAACTGTGAATTATACACTTTTTAATCTCATTGAACTTTGAATTGATGTTGTAAAATTACTGTAAAGGTCAAGTTAGTGGTGGGATTTTTTTATATAAAACTAGTTTGGACTGAATATCGTAATTCTAAACTCCAACAATCTCTCAAGTCAGATAGATATAAGCAAAGCTCCATGTATATGTGAATTTATTTGAAACCAGTTTGATTTTAAATAGATGTAAGATGCAATTCTCATGATTTATTTATCGTGCACTTTTTAAACAAACTTGAAGTTTTCATCAACTTGTTTGTTTGACCTCAGTGGTGGCTTATTAAATGATAGACTTTCTTCGAACTATGTCTGTAAAATTGATCAATGTGGGAACAGTGCAACACTCTTTTAATTTCCCACATTAAATTTACTCAATTGATTTGACTACAGTGCTTCTAGTTTGGTTCAATGGTGCTGCATGTAAATAAGTTGAATTTGAAAGTGAAAATGCGATGTGCATTATTGATACAAAACTATTTTTGAAGAACAAAGCATGTCTTGATTGAACATGAGTATGAATAATATCAGATACCATATGTGTTCATTTTTGTAGCAGTTGCACAATAAAACTTATCTTTATGTCTATTTTTATGTTGGATAAAGTGTGAATTACCAAAAAAAATGATAATCATGATTTATAATTTAATTGGAATTTTTCTTTTTCTGTCTATCAGGGTTGCAGGCAATGCTGCTTACATTATTGGGACACTTGCAGAAAATGACATTGGATGCTATCGTGTCCTCAGCCTCACAAACTCCAGTCACGCAGAGGGGAAGAAAATCCTTCCTGATCTGACAAGAATGCTCACCTTTGATGACTCGGAGAGTGTGATGAACGCTGCGGGGACGATGGGAACTCTGGCGGAGAGTCAGGAAGGAAGGGCGTGGATGTTACAGCAGCCATGTTTAGAGATGACCATAGATCACATAACAGCTCTCCTGACCAATGAAAACATGTGGACTGCTAGTAATGCTGCTTTAGTGTTGGCAAGGTTTGTAACATATTTGGTATTCTGGCTTATGTAGTTAGTGTGTACAATGTTGGTGAAGTGCTTTTTCAGAAGAACCTTAAATAAGAAGATAGAAGATATGAAATGATTAATTCAAAAATGTCTGTTTATTGTTGACTTGGTTGAGAAAATTGTGATTTCAGTAAAACAAATGATATATCAAGATAACTTCAGGTAACAAGTTATGATATATTAGATATGAAGTGGAATTAGATATTTCTGTTCACAGAAAGTAATAGAAATGATTCTGTTTCTAGGTTGACCATTTCTGAAGATGGATGCATGAAAATCCTGGAGCATGAAAATGGCAAAGACATAGCTGGGAAACTGATTAACTCATTAGGAGTAGATGAAGCAGGTCAGAGGGCATTGGAGCATGAGATATATTTTATATTATGGGATAAAGTCCATATTTCAGGTTAACGGTATATACATAACAAGTGCATTGCACCATGTAATGAAAGTCACCGAATCTCACTTTTGAATTACAGGTATCAGAATCCTTGTAACAGTTTGTTTTGGGATTTTTGGATAATTGTTGATGTGATGGGATATAGCTATTTCAGGGATAATAGATGGTCAGCAGAATTTAAAATAATAAAAATATATTCTTATAATTGTATGTAATAACCTCCCCATTTTTGAACCATCATCATCATCTTCATCATATTTTTCTATATTTTTAAAGAGAACATCTCATATATTTACTTTGTCTCAGGGTTGTTGATATCAAATAACGGTCGATGTTCTGTTTCAGGAAGAGGCATGAATGCTGCCTTTGCCATTGGAAGGCTGTGTGATATGGATACTGGAAGAACAGCTCTCCTAGCATTACCAGAGTCAGAGAAAATGGTATGTCGTCTTTAGAATAACTACAGCTAACTGCATCAGTCATTATCCACCACTTGACCACTGAGACCTCACATTGAACTTGATATTAAAAGAATAACAACTTTTCCTTTTGGTGGGAAAAGTGCTGTAAGCCTGATTTTCCTGGGCTCAAACTTACCACTGGTTAATGAATCTTTCTGACTTTCACAGTTAGCCGATTTTTTAGAAGTGTGTTTTTTGTAATAATCTTATAAGAGATCATTATGGAGGGAAGCCATCTATAAAGGTCCGGGTGGTTCAATTACAAGCACAGATTTTCAGTATAATTGCGATAACTGCCATTTTGGTAGTAAAATGGAATTTATTTTGTTTCTGTGTTGTTTACAATGTATCTATTGTGGAAATTTGAATCTTATATAAAGAGTTGTTATCCCTTTAAATTGTAGAATTTTGTATGCATTAGTGTTATAGTTTCTCAAGTGTTTTGAAATTTTTCTACATCTTTACTAAAAGAAAAAAAAGACAACTGTTTTCTGTAAATACTATTGCTTTGGCATCTGACCTCTGTATATTTTTATTCCATTTCCAGATTACTGCCCTGGCAAAGATGTTATCTTGCAATGATCCTGGTGCCAGCAAGAATGCATGTTTTGCCTTAAGTTGCCTAGCAACCAGCAATGCTGGTCATTCCCGTATTCTCCACAATGTGTATTCTGATGATATACTCCATACTCTCAGCAACTTACTTGCGGCAGAGGATGGGGAAACTGGGTGGTTTGCAGCAATGTGAGTTTAATAATGTTTTCATACAAACATTTATATCTGTCTTCCCTATTTTCATAACCCTCTTTCTCCTTTAGACTCAGCCGGTGAGAACAGATTATGTACAAACACTCTGACAATATTCGGTTCTTTGATAAAAAAAATTCCTGGCTCTGCTAGTTACTGAGTGTCATAGAAAATATTCTCTTATTTAATAAATTTTTGTTGTCTATTCTGTAATTTATTTACAGTTTATGCAGACTCTTAGTTTTGATGATCTTAGCTTAAACTGGAAACTGATGCTAATAATCAAAGATAATCATAAAGATTGAGTTTGTGTATCAATGTTTGCTGATCTGAAAAGTAATTTGAAATGCTGTAATTTTTTATCGGAATTCCAGGACGTTGAGGACTCTAGCCAGCCAGCCAAAGGGCTGTTTGAGGTTACGTGAACATGCTGACATTCTCCCTGGACTAAAGTGGACAGAGGCCAAGACTGACGTTAATGAGGACCTGAAAGAAGAAGTCCTTTGCACATTAGAGATTCTGAAAAGGCTGACCAAGCCTCCCCCACCAGATATAGAGGTCAAAGGACCCGATGAAGTAGAGGCCACGTGGACAGAGATGACCACAAAAAGTGGCCTTGAGGTCCGCTATCAGTTATTTGAGGGCAATAAATGCGTGTATAATGGCACAGAACTCAGGTGCACTGTAAACGATCTCTTGGCTGCCACGCCATACACCTTTAAGTTACGAGCCTACACTGAAGGAGACGACAGTCCATGGAGTGAGCCTGTGCGAGTTATCACGGACGAGTCAGTGCCAACCCCACCTCAGAACTTCCGTATTTTGGGTTCCACCACAACCCAGATTAAAGTTGGTTGGGAGCCTCCTGAAAGTGCTAACGGACACCTTAAAGGGTACCACGTGTACCTTGGAAAGAAGGAAGTTGACTTTGTACATGAATTAAGTTGTATTATCTCAGGACTTGCACCACATACTTCATATGATATTTCTGTTTGTGCTGTCACAGTGAAGGGGAAAGGTGCTAAAGCCACTTTACTGGGATCCACATCAGAATTAGGTATTTGCATCATTTGCAGTTATATATGGAGAAATGCTTTAGAGAGTGTCAATAGTTTTTCAAAAGCTTACATTCAAAATCAGTTTCAGTATTTTGTAGTATCCATAATGTTCATTTACATAAATCTAGGCTCATGCTGGCAGATGCAGTTTTCTTGCCAAATACAAGAAATAGATATACTCTGGTTTTAGAAAATGAAAAAAAAAATACCTGTTGGCTAATTCAAAAATATTGTAGGAAGATCCCTGTTAGCTTTTGTTGTAATGGATATGTATGGTTATTTTAGTGTTGTAATTTGGAACATCGAGGTCAGTAATTATTTAGGTATAACAATTTAATAGAGAGCTAAAGAAAATAAAACTATGTTAATTAGAAGGAAGAAAGAAAAGTAAAATTAAATGTTTGTTGCAGGTGCTCACGCCCCACCAAAGCCAACAGTCCATGTTCTGGGTCGTAATGAGATTCACGTGACATGGGAGGCACCAGAGCAGCCACTGGGGAAGATAACCATGTATGAGCTGAAGATTGATGGAAAGTCTGTCTACTCTGGGATGGATATGAGTTACTCCGCCAGGCGCTTGGTGCCTGATAAAGAATATGTCTTTACGGTATGTTTTAGTGTAACATAATTGATAGAATTTTAAAGTTCTGTTATATTTGTCAGGATCTTTGAAATTTAAATGATGTACACAGTGAGGATGAAGAATTATTTTCATATGAAAAGGTTGGACTTGGATTAGCTTTTAAATATTTTCAGGGTTACTTATATTTTGGGATTGTGAATTGTTAATTCTATTATCACAATTTGAATCTGTCTCCAAATATGCAGTTTTTTTATGTGGCAGGTTAGTGCAATAACTTTTGAAGGGAAGTGTGAAAGTAAACCAGCCAAGGCAAGAACTTCAAAGGATAATTGTAAGTAAAAAATATCTCAGAATATTTTGATATTAGTTTAAAAGATACCCCCAAATTAAGGTTTGTGTGAGTGTGGGGCTCTGAATTGAGGACAGTTATTTTAAAAATGATTTGTGAAATTGCTGGATTGAAAATTCTGCTCTGTATAATATATTACAAAATACAAAGACAGAGATATTTTATGCTCCCTGTATTTATTGATTTGGAAACCCCCAGCTGGAGGGACATGTCCAGTCACCTGCCTAATGCACATTGTTCAGTATTCTGAATAAAATCCATGTTCAAGTCTTTGAATGACCAAGATGAAATAGAACACATGCTAAAGATATGATGAGTATGATCGCATGAAGAAGTATTATTTGAAAATATGTCTTAAGGAATTTGATGACATTTTAGATGATAGCAACAGACCGCCACTCTACTCAGTAAAGAAAAGCGGAGGAGAGGAACAGTCAGAGTCGGGGTCTAAACAGGCTGGTGCCACGAAGAAAAGACGAAGCTCAAAATCAGATGCGATGTCAGTGGCAAGCTCAACAGAGGGGTCAAAGAGTACAAAGACAAGGTCAACCAGTGCAAATAGTGCCAAAGTGAGTGCATTTGCTACAAGCTGTTGTATTTTTTTCATGATTAATTATTACAAATAGATATTGTGCATGGTTTGAAAATCATATTAAGCACTGTTAATAGAAGTTGTTTATTAGCATTTGTGTTTTTAGATTTATTAGGTGTATTTGAAATTACACTACTACTCCTAACTGCACAATAATCTGTCATTTGTTTGCTTGATAGTATTTGCACAAAATAGTTTATATTTCCCCTGCTTTAACACACACAAAACATATATGGGCTGTTACATCATGAAGCATTTTGGAGTAAAATCATCTGCCTGTTTATTTTAAATATTTTTTTTTTTTAATATTAAACTGTTAAGTTTGTCTCTTTCACCATTAAAAGTCTTTAACAGAAAAATGACAAAGTATTTTTAAAAAAGATTTTTTAAAAAGGAAAACAGAAAGTGGTACAGCTGGTCCATCCTTAGCCCATTTCAACATGGAGCTGCTTTCAAAGAATGAAATGTACTGTGGTAATGGTACATTTGATTTTTTTGTTTGAAAGCTCTTGTTTTTTAAATAGTATATGCATTGCTTAATACCTGAAGGCATGTTTAATTTTAAAATATTAGAAGTGATGTACCTGCTCCAAAATTCCTGCAACAGCCAAGGTGTTTATTTTTCATTTTGATGTGTATCACACTTTCTAACACTGTGTTGTTTTGATCCTCTTTACCAGCAAAACATATTCAATAAATGGCTCTTCAAGGTAGATATATGTTTTTTATCACAAGTCAATGTTGTCTTTTTTATAAAGCTTCATGTATTTTTGAATGGGCTTTTCCTTTGGTTGCTTATAATGGTTATAAAACTCTAAATATTTTTAGAAAGCATTGGTACTTCAAACCTCAAGACTTTTGTCACAATATAGAATTTGCCAAAGTTCAGAAAAAGGATTCGAAATTAAAAAATGGCCAAGATACCTTTCGTTGTTGATATATAACTGTTATTTGGCAAACTACAGACCAAAATTACACCATCAAACAGTAGATAATTACAGCTTTTCAATCATCTGTACAGAAATTTACATGCTGGGGTCATACCCATAATGCACCAAGTCAGGTAACCTTTTCTCCTTGAGATTTTCATATGAATGATACTTTAAAATTTTCCCTTTTAAATTTGTTAAAATTGAGCATTAGTGTGTTTTTCTATCATTTGCTAATTATTATAATTGTATTCAGTTTATAACTATCTGTGCATTTTTTCCTTAGGTTATTTAGACTGTTATTTACAACATTAGATAAAACTACTTCTCGGCATTTAATATTATAGTTGTTTGCAAGATAAAAACAGCCACTGCACATAAAACAATAGAAAAAGGAAGTACTCTACTAAACATGTGCAACAGAACTAAAATAGATTCAGTCCTCCATGAAGTTGTTTTATAATTAATTTTCTGTTTAGAATTCTTTAGTCTTACTACACTGTTTCTATGATGAGTGCAGTGAATAGCTTTTCTATTATTTCATTGTAAACTTCCATTCCTAATAAATCATATTTCTTATTGAAAATAGTGAACTGACTTTAGAGAATCACATTTAATAATGACAGTAGAACAAACCTCTAGCAAAATCCATTAGAATAGTTAATTAGCTGTATTTGTTTTTATTGTACTGCTTTCACAAAATAACCAAAAAAAAATGCAGCCTAATAATTAGATTGTTTCTAGAAAATAGGAATATTGTTCTTGCTGATAATACAAATGTGAATATGATTATCATACCTGACAGAAAAAACATTAATGCTATCTGTATGAAGAATGTCTTTAAATATTAATATTCTTATTTGTGTATATACCATATTGATGAGTGTGGAATATAGAATTCATTGTAACTGTGGTACACTGATCTCAGTCACAGTCATAACACCTATATATTTGGCCTTGTAGAATAAATTGCCAGTAATAATAGATCCAGATAAGTCTCCGACTTTACTAAAGGTATGGTAAAATAAGTATAGGTCATAAATTTATGCTAATTATTCTTATGCAAATTCCATTTCCATCTCTGTATGATACTTCTTACAATGCCCTAAATTCATACCAGTCTTCTGCAAATCTCTTGAAATTTTCCACATGTTCTTACATATCTCATATTTCAATTTCTAATTCAAAATAATCAACTTGAAACAACTTCAATTTTCACTCTACATGTTCTCTGAATTGTTTTTTTTTTTTTTTGCAGATTTTTTTCCATGGTAAAGGCTAATATATAATATTCTTATGTTCCTTTTTTTGACCCTAAAAACTCTCTCAGTGGACACTGTGCATAATTTATTTTAATATCATGTTGCAGCAGCCTGTGCTTTATCTTTAAAAGCAAATCTTAGCTTCAAACCTTGCATCTGTTGGCTTATACTTATGTTATAACTTTTGCTTGTTTTGAGTGAGAATTCACAAGTGCAATACCTTGCTTACATATTTTAAATGCTTGATGAAATTGAATGGTTTTAAGTTATTGTGTATTTAAATCCTCTTGATAAATTTTGTTGAGATATCGGACTCAATTAAAGGGATACAATTTATTATGAAAAGAACTCCAGGGATTCAGTCTTGTCTCATTAAGTCTGTTTTAGTAACTTATTAATATTTACTTTAATGCTTTATCTTAAGATTTCCCAGCCTCATTGATTCAAAAATCAATACTGTGATATATTTAAACCATGCTAGGTAATAGAATACCCAAGATGAAAGCAGACTTAACTCTACTAATCTATAATTATGTACTAATATAGTTCTTATGTCCTCTTATTTCAGTACTATCACAAGTCCCCCAAAGCAAGGCTTGACGTAAAAGAAAAATCACAAGGCAGCAGTAGACCTAGCTCAGGTATGACTTATAGGCTGTGTTCACAACTGGGCTAAGTTAAACCAGATGACAAATTGACATAACTGAAAATCAAGATTTTTATTAATTTGGTGATGACAGAAAGATTATAAGACAGAATGAAGATTTGTATGTTATTTGGTTGTTTTATGGTGTTCATTAGACAGTTGCTGACTAAGTTAGTCCAGTTGTGAACATGGAGGCAGCCTTAAGGTGGAAGGCATATAAGTGATTAAGATGTTTATTGAAATGAGTGTAACTGAATTGATTTTATGAAGTGAAGGAATATGAAAGAAAATTGAGATTCTACACACTCTTTAATTTTATAGTACATCTTAAATATTTTAGCATTTGATATATTTAGTACAAATGTATCACTATATACTTGATGCTTGATTGCTGTAATTACAATTGTGGCTCTTGTGTAAACCTTTTCTTCTTCCAGAGTTGTATGAAGAGAAATGTCCTTTTTATCGTGGATTATTACAAATATGCTTTCAGATTAGATAAGTGAAGATGTATATTTATTTTGTAACCTGGGGAACATATTTTAAATACATTTTCAGCTGCAAGCAGCAGCAGTTCACTGCACAAGAAAGTTGTCAGCAAACAAATTGAACAGGGTGTTGAAAAGGCAGAGGTATAAATATAATTTTTAGATTATTGAAATATGTAGCTATAATTTTCTTGATTAGGATTAAGCCCCTTGTGCTGTATACTGCAGATACTGTCATAAATCAAAAAAAAATTGAAGTAGGATCATTTTTGCACATTTGACAAATTGCCATGGCTCCAATGTAGGTTTTTTTTTTTAAATGGAAGTTGAAATATTGTAGTTTATTTGTAGGGTAATGTAAATAACTATATGTTATCAAATGACTGCATATTTGTGGTTTAATTCTTGCTCTCAACCTCCAGAGGTTTATTGGACTTGATGCAAATGGTTTCCTTTCTAGAGAGATTCCAGTGATCATTCCTCAAAGTCCAGTGGTAGCAGCAGTAAAAAGGAACTGGAACCTATTGTATTTGCTCAAGATTCACAGGGTCATGGAAACAAACATTCCAAACCTAAAATAAAACTACAGGGAACAGGAGATGGACCTGAGAGCACAGCCGTTGTGGGTCGTCCAAACAGTGCCAAAAAAGAAAAGGCCAAAGAAAAAACAAACATCATAAAAATTAATTTAGAAAGTATGGACTCAAATTTGACAACTTTAAAACCTGTTGAGAAGTCTCCCAGGTCACTAACACGCTCAAACTCGGATGTCAGGGAGAATAAACCCAACGTCTTGCAGCAGGAGATGTTGCCTAACTCTGCAGACAAAGCTTCAAGAATTCAACACGAGTTGTCGCCTAACTCTGTGGACAGACCCCTCAATAGACTTTCTCCCCCAGGGAGGAAACTGGCCAGTCTGACTGATATGGGCATGTCTGGGGTTAACAAACCCTTCAAGAGAATGCCAAGTCAAGATAAGGAGGAGGAAGAAGAAGAGGAGGATGCTGGGGTTGGACCCATGCCAGACCCCTCATGGGTGGAAATTACCAAAAAGTAAGTTTTAGTTTGATTCCAGACTACCCATTCAGGGTCCAAACCAAATATCCTATATGTGAAATATCTTTTAAATCCTTTTTTGTGATTTTAACAACATTAATGACTATTTCTTATTTCACTTAATGAAAAATAATTATTAAGATTTCCAATACTTTTAATGTCTTGAAGCTTATTTTCCACCGGATGTCAACTAAAATGTATTGAGCATGATATTTCTATTCTAAAAACCATATTTACTCATGCCTTAGGCACACAGCAACTTTTGCGCATGTTCTTATGTTAAGCTTCGTTGCGTATTTTAGAAAACAAATCTTGTAACGTNAACTAGAAAACATGAATATTGTTCTTGGTAGTCATACAAATGTGAATATGATTATCATACCTGACAGAAAAACGTTAATGCTATCTGTATGAAGAATGTCTTTAAATATTAATATTCTTATTTATGTTTGTACCATTTTGATGAGCATGGAATATAGAATTCATTGTAACTGTGGAACACTGATCTCAGTCACAGTCATAACACCTATGTATTTGGCCTTGTAGAATAAATTGCCAGTAATAATAGATCCAGATAAGTCTCCGACTTTACTAAAGGTATGGTTAAATAAGTATAGGTCGTAAATTTATGCTAATTATTCTTATGCAAATTCCATTTCCATCTCTGTATGATACTTCTTACAATGCCCTAAATTCATACCAGTCTTCTGCAAATCTCTTGAAATTTTCCACATGTTCTTACTTATCTCATATTTCAATTTCTAATTCAAAATAATCAACTTGTAACAACTTCAATTTTCACTCTACTTGTTCTCTGAATTGTGATTTTTTTTTTTTTTTGCAGATTTTTTTCCATGGTAAAGGCTAATATATAATATTCTTATGTTCCTTTTTTTGACCCTAAAAACTCTCTCAGTGGATACTGTGCATAAATTATTTTAATATCATGTTGCAGCAGCCTGTGCTTTATCTTTAAAAGCAAATCTTAGCTTCAAACCTTGGCTTATACTTATGTTATAACTTTTGCTTGTTTTGAGTGAGAATTCACAAGTGCAATACCTTGCTTACATATTTTGAATGCTTGACAAAATTGAATGGTTTAAAGTTTTTGTGCATTTAAATCCTCTTGATAATTTTTGTTGAGATGTCGGACTCAATAACAGGGATACAATTTATTGTAAAAAGAACTCCAGGGATTCAGTCTTGTCTCATTAAGTCTGTTTTAGTAACTTATTAATATTTACTTAAATGCTTTATCTTAAGATTTCCCAGCCTCATTGATTCAAAAATCAATACTGTGATATATTTAAACCATGCTAGGTAATAGAATACCCAAGATGAAAGCAGACTTAACTCTACTAATCTATAATTATGTACTAATATAGTTCTTATGTCCTCTTATTTCAGTACTATCACAAGTCCCCCAAAGCAAGGCTTGACGTAAAAGAAAAATCACAAGGCAGTAGTAGACCTAGCTCAGGTATGACTTATAGGCTGTGTTCACAACTGGGCTAAGTTAAACAAGATAACAAATTGACATAACTAAATATCAAGATTTATTAATTTGGTGATAACAGAAAGGTTATAAGACAGAATGAAGATTTGTATGCAATTTAGTTATAAATATGTAGACAGTTGCTAATTTAAAGTTAGTCCAGTTGTGAACATGGAGGCAGCCTTAAGGTGGAGGTCATATAAGTGATTAAGATGTCTGTTGAAATGAGTGTAACTGAACTGATTTTATGAAGTGAAGGAATATGAAAGAAAATTGAGATTCTACACACTCTTTAATTTTATAGTACATCTTAAATATTTTAGCATTTGATATATTGAGTAGAAATGTATCACTTAGTATATATATTTGATGCTTGACTGCTGGCTTGTTTATCCTTTCTTCTTCCAGAGTGGTATGAAGAGAAATGTCCTTTTTATCATAGATTATTACAAATATTCTTTCAGATTAGATAAGTGAAGATGTATATTTATTGTGTAACCAGGGGAACATATTTTAAATATATTTTCAGCTGCAAGCAGCAGCAGTTCACTGCACAAGAAAGTTGTCAGCAAACAAATTGAACAGGGTGTTGAAAAGGCAGAGGTATAAATAGATTTAATTTATAACTAAAATTTTCTGGATTAGGATTAAGCCCCTTGTATTGTATACTGCAGATACTGTCATAAATCATTAAAAAAATTGAAGTAGGATCATTTTTGCACATTTGACAAATTGCCATGGCTCCAATGAAGGTTTTTATGTACAGACACAGATGTGTCTGTACATATTGCCATCACCTGCGTCTGTCGTCGCCGTCGCCGTCGCCGATCACGTCGCCGTCGCCGTGCACTTTCAGCGTTAACACCATAAGTGGAAGACAGTTTTACTTTTTATGTACAGACACAGATGTGTCTGTACATATAGCCATCACCTGCGTCTGTCGTCGTCGCCGTGCACTTTGACCACCGATAACACGATAAGTGAAAAACTGTTTTACCTTTTGGCTTGAAACTTACAGAACTGATGAACTTTCACAATATGCAGGTCAAGTTCGAAAATCAGCATGATCGGGCCATCTATATGGAAGTTATGCTGTTTTTTCACTTTTTTCAGCATATTTGCAACACCGATAACACGATAAGTGAAAAACCGTTTTACCTTTTGGCTTGAAACTTATGGAACTAATGAATATTCATAATACGCAGGCCAAGTTCGAAAATCAGCATGATCGGGCCATTTTCTTGGAAGTTATGCTGTTTTTTCACTTTTTTCATCATTTTTATAACACATATAACACGATTAGTGAAAAACCGTTTTACCTTTTAGCTTGAAACTTACATAATACGCAGGTCAAGTTCGAAAATCAGCATGATTGGGCCATTTTTATGGAAGTTATGCTGTTTTTTCATTTTTTTAAAGCATATATGCAACACTGATAACATGATAAATGAAAAACTGTTTTACCTTTTGGCTTGAAACTTACAGAACTGATGAATATTCATAATATACAGGTCAAGTTCGAAAATCAGC